CCTAATAAGCCCTTAAAGTGGCTAGAAGTGCATGGGACGCAACTGCAGGCGACTCGCCAAGTTCCCGCATCGAAATGCGTCACTAAGGCGCTAGGGGCCAAGGACTTTGACACGCTCCACCTGTTGCGACACGCTCCGCCCACCGCTCGATATCTTGTCTGCGTCGCAATGCTGATCTGCTATGCTCTCTCTACTCGGACTTCTCTACCGCTCTCCGCGCTCACATTATCTCTCATCTCCCTGCCGGCCTTTTGAACTTCTCCGCAACGTAGAGCAAAAGGCTCGTATTTCCTGTGTATTTCACGATTTTTTTCCTTTTCTCCACTGGCGGTCCACCTCCCACCCCTACATCACATTTGAGTAGAATTACCTCATCAGTTTAAGCTTGAATCTTGCCTTTAATTGACTGCTGAAATTAATCAATAATGTTATCACCTTGCTAGACAATCACAACGTTCCACCTATTGGATGGATCAGCGATCCCCTTCCTTTCAGAACTGGGGAGACTACGAGTTGAAGAAACCCGCGACCGTCAGATATTGGTAAAGGCTTTTCAGTCCAGAAACGCTTAAAGATCAAGTCCAGGATCGACCTATTGAATTGTAGCGATTTCAAGACTGAGATGTGAAGGTATACAAAGCAATCGCGAAAAAGTTGGGAGAATCGTGAAAATGTCGCATAACAAAAACCCCCCTCCAGCAGCAGCAGCAGAGCTGAAGATGCTCCGATTCTGGGGAGCTTTGATGTGAGACTGTATTATAACTTCAGTCCGGTACATTCGTACCTAGTAAGTAGCTGCCCTCACCCCCCACCCCCTAGACTGCCTTCACACCCCCTGGCTCACGGGGTCCCGTACATCGAGAAACCTGTGCGCCAGGGGGAGTGTAGGCAGTCTAGGGGGTGGGGGGTGAGGGCAGCTACTTACTAGGTACGAATGGTACCGGACTGAAGTTATAATACAGTGGTTCGAGAACGGAAAGCGCTTATTTCGATTGTTGGCCTGCCGAAGCCGTGACTCAATGGGCAGGGTAGACGGAAACGACGTATCCAGAGAAATATCGGATAGAAAAAAAAAGGGCTCGACAGCATACTGAGGTGGCAGTGGAAAACGATTACTTTCAACGCGACGAAAAATGCTTAAGCAACTTGATGCTGATCAACCTTAGTAATGCGCGTGCACTCGACTTGCATTCAAATAGTAAAGACATTGAGGCGTATGTTACTTCCATAACTAATGGACCGTTTTTCTCCTTCTAACCAAGTTTGTACAAATATGCCGACTAATAGTAAGAGGCATAGAAGGATTTAAGGTAGGCATCACAAAACATAAAACATAAAGCTGAACAAGCCAGTAGAGCTCAGACAAGTAAAACACCTAGCTAAACGCCGGCCGCACAGGACTCACAATAGTGGGTAATCGCCCTACACCAGCAAGGCTTATTGAACAATACTAATAGCAGGACTCCACGGAAAGGTCTGAGGTCGAATTAAGGGCTGGAAATATACTTATGAAATCCAAGAAATTCAGCAGGGACTTCTTTGAGCGGGTGCAGGACAATTGCGGCGTTCTGCAGCGAAGAGTAACGCTCGCAGCACCTAGCAGGGCTACACCTGCCAATCAAAAGTTCCCCCACCAAACCTCGCGTCTGCGATTTTAGCCGCTCTATCAGAAGAGAGAGCGTAGGCAGTTCAGAGCGTCCGCCACCGATGAAGACAGCTAACGCGGCAAAATTAGCAGCGAAAAGCGGATTGTCTTCTCAGTTCTAAGCCCTCTTTCTTGTCTTTCTTACTCAGCTGCATCTACTGTCATCTACTCTACTTAAATTTTCAGTGGCTGTTTTATTCATAGGTTAGACTCCTTTTAACCCATTCGCGACAATGTCAGCCACCGGTGGCTGACGCGAAGATGTCCACTTCGGACCATGTCAGCCACCGGTGGCTGACGGGCTTTAAATGGAATTTTTGAAAACAAAGGAGGTCTCTGGGAGATTTTCTTTGCTGTGAAGAATCTTCATACCCTCATCTATCTAGGCCACCCCTGGGCAAAGGAAATCTCTATCCACTAGAATTTTATTGAAGAAAAAATAACCTGACTTAAAAATTTCACCGAAAAAGTTGAAATTTTTTTCCGCTGAAACTTTTCCCATGGGGGTTTTCGAGGGTCCTGATCTCAAATATGATATCCATTTTTGGCGCTGGCGCCAAATTGGCGCCATTTGGCGCCAGTTGGCGCCAAGGGTGTATTCACCAAATTCGCTGTAAACTTGCGTATGGGGGTTATTTGAGGCCCTGATTACGAATATGACATTCGTTTTTAGCGCTGGCGCCAAATTGGCGCCATTTGGCGCCAGTTGGCGCCAAGGGTGTATTCACCAAATTCGCTGTAAACTTGCGTATGGGGGTTATTTGAGGCCTTGATTACGAATATGACATTCGTTTTATCGTTAGCGCTATATTAACACCTGTTTCCTGCTCGCCTGCACCTTCTCACTATTGGATCCAATCAGGAGTAACAAGGGGGGTCGTTCAGGATGTTGAAAGCTTTTTCGAAACGGTTTTCTGTATGTTATGGGAGCTCATGCGCATACTACGAAACCGAGGTATATTTCCGCTGAGCGGCCCCGCGAAGGCCAAAAAAGGTGAGGAAATGGTCCAAGGTTCAATCCCTCATAATGACAAAATTTTTGCATTTAGGTTGGAGCTTCCCAATTTGCTCTAAAAACACCAGGAATTATAATGTTCATTATAAAGACCATCAGTAACTAATGCTTTCAGATTTTCACCATAATGTGGCACCGGAAAAAAGTTGTTACGCCAGAGGGGCGCCAAATGGCGCCGTAGCGCAAATTGGCGTAGCAAGTGGCGTAAATTTCGGCAATCAAAAAATGAATGTCATATTCGTAATGAGGGTCCCAAATAACCCCCTATATACAAGTTTACATCGAATTTGACGAAATTCAGTCAGGGCGCCATCTGGCGCCAAATGGCGCCAATTTGGCGCCAGCGCCAAAAATAAATCTCATATTCGTAATCAGGGTCCTCAAATAACCCCTATATACAAGTTTACATCGAATTTGACGAAATTCAGTCAGGGCGCCATCTGGCGCCAAATGGCGCCAATTTGGCGCCAGCGCCAAAAACGAATCTCATATTCGTAATCAGGGCCTCAAATAACCCCTATATACAAGTTTACATCGAATTTGACGAAATTCAGTCAGGGCGCCATCTGGCGCCAAATGGCGCCAATTTGGCGCCAGCGCCAAAAATGAATCCCATAATCGTGATCAGGACCCTTGATAACCTCTATGGGAGAAGTTTCAGCGTGAACTACGGATGACATATAGAAAAAACTAAAAAAATACAAGATGGATTTCCCCTGGGACAATGTCAGCCACCGGTGGCTGACATTGCGCAATCGTCTCTGCCGGCGCTGGTCCGAACGGGCAGTCTTCGAAAATCCCGCCCGGTCGCGAGTGGGTTAAAGGAATGAGCACGATAGCTAAGGGGTAGAGCGGTTTTGATGGACGTTGGGGGACCAGAGACGCGATTCCAGCGATCTTGGGCGTGGGAGCATGGTAGAACCACTTCCTCACGTCCTTCAGGCAATCACGCTCAATGACGTCATCAAAATCACTCGACCCTTCAGCCTTTCTATTGACTTTGAAAGCAGTAAGTCCTGGACTCTTTCTAGGATATTACGAGCCAAGTTTTTCCCATACTTGAAACACGTCAAAAAAGTAGGAGTATAAACGAGTTTTATCGACATTCCACTAACATGCGACACAACTACTACCGAAACAATCAAAGCTGCACACAGGACACGTAGAAACAGATGCTCCAGAGCGCGCGCTTGCGAATGAGGACTCCTGTGGGCTAGGTGTAAGCCAAAAGTACACGCCGAGGCGCCAAAAACCACGGCAAGCCGTGCAGAACACTCAGTTTTTGCTCGTCAGCGCATCTTGCCAACACTATAGCCGCCCCAACCCCAATGTAAGCAACTCGTCATATAGAGTTGTGCGGACGAAGAAGAAAAGTAAGCGGTTCACGAATAGCACTAAATGCATGGAATTTTGGCGAGCGCGGATCCGTGGCGTGTACTTCTGGCTCGAGCCTGCGTGCGCTCCTCGAAGCGTTACTGCAAACGCCTATGTTCAAAGAAGCTATATAAAGGTGACTGCAACTTTTTATGAAAATCAAACGAACAGATATAAATAACTACGAAACCTGAGTGATATTAAAATTCCAACGTGACATTAATACATATAGGGTGAGTACGTTTACAAGCCAAAATACACATCCTTCCACAATCTTCAGAAGCGATTCCTTAGTATGGCACTACGCGTTACAGTTGCTCACTTCGCTAATCGTTCAAACAACCTCGCCATTTAAATGCCTTCGTCCCTCTGCCCGCCTCCAATTGGCTGCCCCAGCGACTGGTCCCTGGCCGCCTGATTCTAGCCTTTTTACAGAGAAGCAGAGCAGCGCGTTTACGGTGAGGACGTAAGCAGTCATTTACTCGCCCAGCGAAGAAAGCAAGGCCAAAAAGGAATCATTTCTGCGGGTTATGGGTCGTTTCTATTGGTTCTTCTTGGCCAGTGCACTAATGGCTATCTCTGCTTCCACTCTCAATGGGTGACCAATTTATATGACATCTGCCTTTCACAGTTTTCCTTGTTCTATTTCTTAGGCTTAACTTAGGGCTGTCATCGGTCCACTCCAGGAAAGAAGGTATGTGCTGGCTTGATACGTAAGGCACATAATATCTATAAAATTAACGGGAAAACCTAAGAAACCAAAAACTGAGCTGCTAGGCACACTATCAGGTTTGAAAATGCACCCGACACAAAGCGGCATCATTTGTAAGCTTCAATCATCTCAACATGTGACGTTGTGCGCCTGCTGGACCCGACACTATCGGGCAGGACAACTCATCCGCAACGAACAGAGTGGCAGGCCAACAGTGTGCTCACAGTGTCACGCCCACACAAGTTTTATCCTAGTTAGTATTCGCCGTCCTGAATCTGTTCATCCACTCCTTGCGGTCTGAGCCAATCCATCATGACGTAATGTGGTTCACTTCTATCATTTGATACGACAGCAAGAACCATAATCTTCTTCACCTGAATTAGTAACACTTTTTCTGTTGACAGCATCCATTTCACATCCTAATGAGAAACCAGCTCATCTAAATCAGGGCTTCATGGAGCTGAAGAAACCTCTCGCGTGCAGAAGCGCGCGGCGCCAAAATGGTACTAATTTTGAGAGCAGCACCGGTTCATCTCAATATAATTGGATACTTGGATGCACCCTGCTAGGCCGACGATCTCCAGCGACAAGCACACGCTTCCCTTCTCTCTTGACGATATTGGGCGGTTTGAGGCGCAGTGTTGCCTGCGGCTCCGTCGGTTTGTTTGAAGCAACAGTCCCAGCAGGGTTTTTACTTTCGACACTAATGGTGTGGAACGATGCGCTAGCCTTTAGTCAAGAACATAAGAAGTGTGACTGAACAAAAAACTCACCTTGGAAAGCCGCTAGAAAGGGAGCTGAACGGCTTCCAAGTGGGCGATGAGGCCGAGAGGGACTGCCCACAACAGCGAATTCAACCACTCCGAAGCCGTTCAGCTCCCTTTCTAGCGGCTTTCCAAGGTGAGATTTGTTCAGTCACACTTCTTATGTTCTTGACTAGGGCTAGCGCATCGCTCCCATCATTAGTGTCGAAGGTAAAAACCCTGCTGGAGCTGTTGCTTTGGAAGTCTCTTCATCGCATTTCAAGGCGGCCAAGCTTCGCTTAATGCAACACTCCAGATCGAATTTGCGGGGTCACCGCGGATGATACTGAAGTTGTAGAAACCAGATTGAGAAAAATGAAAAAAAGAAGCAAGTAACCGTCGACGGAGGTTCCAACAAAGAATCCCTAGAAATAAGAAGGGCGGGACCAGACGAATGTTTGAGTCCCTGCCTCCGGCTCAACTATCCCGCGCGCCATTTGAATTAATCTCTACGCACGTCAATTACTGTAGCGCTCCGTCGGGGGGACGCTGCTTACGTAACGGGCGCCCAAATGAATAAGGCCTAGTTCGCCAAATGCTTGACTTTATAAGATTCTTAACGCAATTGTCGCGCACTTTCAAGCCGCCGACCAACGTCAAATCGGTGCTGCTCGCGAACTAACTCTGTCACCCCTGAATAGATCTTCGAAACAACTTCGCTGCTGAGGGTGTTGCTTTACCATCTCGTAGAATACCACAAACAAGTGGTCACCGATCTGACTACATCGTATCTTTCCGTCTCACTGCAGCGTCAGCGTCACGGATGCCGGACATTGAGCGAATGTCTGTGTTGTGCGAATTGCTGCTCCTTTGCTGTCAGCGGTTGATGTTCAGCAGTGTGCTCCAGAACTCGTTGTGCGTGTAGCATCACCGGCGTACACGTCCTGTTCTTTGCCTGCACCTCACATGCGTAGCAGAGTGCGAGCAGTGCCGTAGAGTGAAATCGGTCAGCTCGTATCTTCTTGTTCGAGATGAGCTGAGCCGCCTCTTTGATGCTTCCCATTGCCGTCCATGCGCATTTCTTGCGCCTCATGATCTCTGCGCGCAAGTTGTTGTCCACGGAGATGAGTCGACCGAGGTACACATAGCAGTCGGTGTCGATAATGCGGACCTATTCAGGTGATAATGAGTGACGCATCGCCGATGCTTCACGCATGACTTATTGCTTGCTCCGATTCATTCGTGACGGTCAGCGCTCTTGCCGATGCTACATCCGCCTCCACCTCTACTGTAACTCTGCAGGCTTCGACTGATGAGGACAATGTCCTCTGCAAAGCGTAAGTTGGACAGCTGGACAGCTCATTGCCGACAGTGATAACCCTATGGTCCCAGTCCAGTTAAACATCGCCTGGTTGAGTGCGGTTGAGCGAATAGCTTAAAGGAGATTCGTGATTCACACCACCTTTTCTCGATCGGCACGCGAAACTCCTCGTTTGGAACATGTTGAACAGTAGTTAATGTGAGCGTGAATGCACTGCCTTCCAGTGCTTATGCCTTTACGCCATCTGCTAGTATTATCGTATTGTGTAGAGTTCAAGCTGTCAAATTGGCTCGATAGCTTGATAAAAGCAGAGGAAGCACGTTGCTTGTATTCGCGCTGCGTGTCCGCTTAATCACCTGCGTGAACGGGGTGGATGATCTACGACATATCTGAGAAACCCGCGGCTGTTCCCTTAGCGTCGGTAGTTGACCCAGCCTCTCGAGTCTGTTCAGAATGGCCATTCATGTACAGCTTGCATGGCTGCAAGAGAAGTGTGATGGGGCGGTAGTTCTTCATTTGGTCGCGCTCGCCCTTCCTGAACAGGAGAACGGCGTTTAACATCTTCCAATGGTACGGAATCCTCTGTGCGTCCAGGTACTCATTACTGCGCTTCGTGAGCTACTTCGTGACGGTGCAGGATGCCGGCTTCAGAAGGTCCACTGAGAAGTCCGAGTGCCTTCCTCGGCCCACCCACCTTTATGCACGCTATCGGCATTTGACATTTCCCCATGCTAGAATCTTGTTGTTTTTTTTTTAAGTTTCTGGGCCATCTCAGAGTGGAACTATGGAGGTCTTATATATTTTCATATTTTCGCATTGGGGCAGGTTCAACATCGATCTTAAAGGCAGTGAAAACGATGCGTGGAGGGCGGTGCTTTTTGATGACGTCATTACATTATTGGTAGACTAGGCCAATCAGCATGCTGGGGTGTGGTTGGGACAGCCTTTCAACGTCCTTCCACCAAAACAGGTCAATAACGCTATCAGAACCACACCGCCCCCGGCCATCGCGATCGCTCATTAAAGGAAGCGATTACGATAAAGAGGGAGCGCATCGGGAAGCATGTGCACCACACGAATCAGTTACTTGGCTGCCAGGGAAAGCGAGATGTGGCGCTTTCACAACGAAAGGTGCGCTGGTTGCTGAGCAGGACTTCGAAAGCGCTCCGCCCCCAAAAGCGATCCGCAAAGATCCCGCACTGGGTGAGTTGAGCTGATTTGGGACGAATGCTTTCGCGGAAAAATGGATCATCTCGATTGAAAGCGTGTTTGGCAATGGCGCCATCAAACGCGTTGCGGTGAAGTCGTTCATACGTCCACTTTCTGAGCTGTTACCTGTTTGGAGTGAAAACCAACGGCCAAAAAAGGGGGTCTCGTTTTGTATTTTCTCAACGGATTTTTCCGCTTTTTTTCGTCACTGTTGTATTAATTGAGCACCACCACGTCTTAACTGAGCCATCCTTAAAATGATCGTAATTGCTGCCTTCGAAGCTTACGGAGGTCTGACTTCTTATGGTCCGTAGTCCAGTATAATTGTCGTCAGGTGGTGATCCTCAGCATTAATTATGTTCAAGCAGGAGTTCATTGGGAAACAAATTCCATTCTCGGAGCCAACTCGCAACGCAAACCCAGCACTAACACATTCAGCTTTCTGTAGAATCGAGAGCAATACAACTATTCCGAGATAATAAGCATTCTTGAATGACTAAACCCAAATCTACCTGAACTGCTACTCGGATGAGAGCGATCAAATTCGACGGCGGCAACATCTGGTCATCCAAGATAACGTCCACTATAAATGATGCGTGTACTTCACCGGGAATTCCTTAAACGAAACCTTGAACGATGAGATCAAATACGTCGAAAAACTTGCTCGCACCTTCATATACTAGCCACGAGGTGCCAAACTGCTCTCCACTGGTCAGATAGTAGCCTCTGCTCCACAAATCATAATAAACAAGCTGCCTTGCACGAAATTCACGAGAGCACGGAACTGGTATCTCAAAGTCGTCCAGCCATCGATAAATATTCTCATCAGAGTCTACTGAAAAAAGAGTATTTTGCAGAAGGACCAGCTTTCAATAAAACAGCTACTTTTCTCGAGATTGATCATCTTAGCATTTTCACAGACTGCTTCTTTTCTGAGCTGCATTGCAACCTCCAAAATTTCTTCCCTTGACGCTCCTATTCCAGCGACATCGTGCTTCGTCACCTGCAAATATTACTACGACAAATAACGAGAAATGATACGATCAGATTTTTCCGTGCCCCATAAAGGCACAATGCGGGGTTAAAGGCACAGTCCAGGACGATGTGAGCGAAATGTTGCGATTAAGCAGTGAGAGAGCAGTGGCCGTGACAGATGCAATACGAGACACCGTCGTAGCAGAAGCTGCATGAGGGAACGACTTATTTAGGTGCGCGTTGAGCAGCCCTTGTGCTGGCCTGATTCGCCGGTACACACCCCATTCATGGCTGATTAGTATTACTGTCCTGTCTCGGAAAAGCTTTTTCTCTCCTCGGCGCCCATTTTCTTCCATCTCGTTTCTGTCGCTACCCTACTGGCACGTTCACCCTACCGCTCACCCAATGCATGTAAAATGATCTTTTCACCAATGTGGTAAAAGAGTCAGCAGCAAGTTGTTGCTGGATGACACTTTTGTCTCAGAAGGGTTTGATTGGTAATCTGTTTTTGGCTACAATTGCGATGCGAAACCTATCAGGAGAATCCTGAATTAGTGGGCAAAACTCTTCGCCCAAAAGCGGATTCAAACCTCGCTGACCGAGCAGTTGTGATATCAGTTACCCTACCAGTTCACTTTCCCCGCACCTTGTGATGGTAGCTTGGCCATAGCTTTTCAAGACGATGTCGGCTAATCAGCTTCGTGTTTACGTGTGACTGATGAGCTATGGTAATCACATCATAAAAAGCTGAGCTAATTGTAAGGTGAAATCGTGCCCTGATAGTGTAAACAGTCACACTTGCCCGGTAAGCGAGAGATGCGGTTTCAAATCCCGGTCGGCGCGAAGCGTTTTGCTCTTAACTCAGCATTTCTGCGATAACTTCTCTAGAGTTCTCAAGTGACGAAACAGAAACCGATTCGAGGTACCTTTCGCTTCTTAGCAGGAGATTCTTTTCCTATTCTACTTATCT